ACAAAAAATATGCAGATCTATCAATGCGGAGATATTGTTCGGATTCACATTACGAGGAACCGATAAGACTTGAGCCGAATTCAGGGATTCATAATATTTCATCCACTTTTCCTGTATATGACGTGGTAATTCTTCGTCCCATCCTAGTTGCTCCTTCCATAATTGCTGTACTACCTGCTTGGCTACGACTAGCACCGGTCCGATAATCCCTAAAGGATCAAACAACTTGGAAATGAGAGACAATATTTGTCGCTTAGTAGCAGCTTGCTCGCCACCGATCTTGACCTTATATTGCAAGTCTTGCTCGGAATTCCAAAGCAATCCGAGAGTCTTGAGAACTTCATGTTTATTTAAGACTAGGAGATTATCTTCTTCCTTGTCTTGGTTGGCATAATTGAATCGAGTATTCGTTTATCATTGCTTCTCCATTTACGGAGATGAAATTTTCCTTTCTGAAGTAACTCCGTTAATTCCCGCTGTAATAAACAAGCTTCTTCCCATGTGTGCGCTCCAGTTAATAAATCGTCCATGTAGAAATCACGTTGTAAAATCTTGGCTGCAATTGGATATCTGCTTTTCTCTTGTATCGCTAACTCCTTCAAGCATCTGACCGCTAGAAAGGGAGCTGGTGACGTACCATACGTTAATGTATTCAGCCGATATGTTTGCATCTCCTCTTCTCGGTTGGATCTCTATAATATTCTCTGCAAGTCCCTATCTTGATCTCTTACTAGAATCTGTCCATACATCATTTCTAAGTCCCCTGTTATAACATATTGATGGAGTCTGAATTTCAACAGCAATTCAAATAACATGTCCTGTAAGACAGATCCTATTAATAGCTTGTGATTTAAGGATGTTCCTAATTCCGAACGAGCTGACGCGTCAAAGACCACTATTAATTTGCTTGTTAACGCGTTACTTTTTATAACCGAATGATGCGGCAAATAATAAATATTCCCTGCGTTTATGGGTTCAATATCCTGGATCAGCGACATGTGACCAAGTAACTTATACTGTTCCATAAAATTCACATAGTCTTGTTTTATTTCTGATTGCCGTTCGAATCTACTTTCTAATACGTGCATTCTTTTCCATACCATGTTATACGAATTCCCGAGAAAGATGTCTTCTCTCAGCCCAACCACGAATCTACCCTCGACATTTCTTTGCACCGTTGTTTTGAAGTATTCTTCACATTTTTGCTCTTCTGTTTGGTGTCGATAACTTCCTCTTCTTGTTAAAATTTCTCCAGCTGCTGACTTAATTCATCGTTTGTCAACGCGTTACATATTACAGCTTTACTGTCCTGTCGCGAATTTGTCACTTGTCCTCCTAATATCCAGCCAAAGGACGTATTTTGCAACCTTGGCTGTCCAAGAGTCAAGTCTATGTGCTCATCCTTATGAATTTGCCAGAACACTCCGGCTCCGTCGTTAGTACGTCGATGCTTCCAGGATTGTGGAATTCTCCATCTGTTAGTTTCAAACGACCAGGTATATTAAGTGCGGATATATCAATTCTTGTTTGTGGTATCTTTTCTGTAATTTTTGACAATATTAGACATTCTAATTTAA